TTTCTCTCCCTCCCTCGCTATCTCTCTCACTCTATCTCTCTCTCTCTCTCTCTCTCTCTCTCTCTCTCTCTCATTAATTATGTGCGCAGGCGATTATGTATCCGTCATCTCTCTCGCCCCCCTCCGCTGCTGAGCCCTGGCCCTCTACGCCAACACGCACCTTGGCCACATCAGTCTAATCTCCGCTCCCCCCACTGTCCATTTCCTCCACCATCCCCCCCCCATCCGCCCGTCTACGCGACCCTCTTACCCAGCCGCGCCGCCTAGGCGCGCCCGAAGTTGTCGGGGTGCAGCGGCATCCAGTACTGCGCCGACGGGTCGCAGGCCAGCACGTCTCCCGCCTGTCAGACGGGGCGCGGGCAACGATGACAACGGGCGCGTGGGCGACGGGGAGGGGTGGCAGGGTCACCCCTAGCCTGAGGCCTGGAAAAGGAGATCGGGGGAGGGAGAATGATCGGCAGTGGGCTGAGGATGTGATCAGGAGGGATACAGTGGCGGGTGAGAGATAGATAGCGTGCGGGGGAGAAGACGAGGGACCTGGAGAAGGACCAGGAACGGGGTGGGAGGAGCAGGATATAGGAGAGGGAGGGGACGGATAAACGGGAGTGGGATGCTGACTGAGGCAGCGACACCACTAAGACGCTGACAAAGCGATGGCGACGGCGGCTCCGACACCATCGTTGAGTTCCTCGCTTGTCACATGTCGGCCCAGAGAGCGGACCGAACCGTTCGAACACCTCGCACGTCGGTGTTGCGCTGTCCTGCTCTATGCTAGTGCACTGCAAACGCCTTACACGCTGGCTCGCGAATCTGCTCAGCCAATACCTGCCTACGGGCCTGCTGCACATTGCAAACGAGTTAACACCACTGCTAACCGCGCGAACGCCCACACCGCGCATGCTCGCAACAGGCAGGCCCCTCTACTGGAGGCAAAACAAAACTGTGCTCTGCGCATTGTCTTGAGCTCTCACCGCTCTCACGCCATGGCCCTGCGGGCCGAGGCCTTGGCCTTGGACGTGGTGGCGGCGCCGCCGCGCCCACGCCCGCGCCCGCCACCCCTGCCAACAGGCTTCTTCATCACTCTCTCGCCCCCGCCGTCCTCAGCTGCATCCTCCTCCACCTCCGCCGCATCCTCGGCGGACGCGACGTCGTGCTCGTCCGAGCTCGCCGCGGCAGCGCCCTGAGGCCCCTTATGATCACCCCGCTCGCGGGCTGGCAAGGGCCTCAACGGTTTGTGGTCGAGCGGGGTGATCGGGGGGAAGTCCTCGGGCCCCTTCGCAGTTGGAGTGACCACCCCCCCGCTGGTCTCAGCATCCCCCCTCGTCGCCTCCGCGCACCCTGCGCCACCGTCATCGGGCCCGCTCCCCTCGGCGTCCTCCGCCTTGAGCATGGCCCGCTCGCTCTCGGGCATCTCCTCGATCAAACCTGCGGGCAAGGGCGGGGCGGCTGGGGGGGGAGGGGGGGACAGGGCGCGGCGGCGGGGGGAGTTGGATGGGAGCAGGACTGCATGAATATGGGCTGGGAGGATGGAGACTTGGATGGGGAGGGGCACAAGGGGGCCGAGTATGAGGGACAAGCCATTGAGGTGTATGCGATGGTGGAGGAGAATGGGGGTGCGGAACCATTGATCTTATCGGAGAGCGCCTCCTGCTGCTTCATGATGGTGGTGTTCTTGTCGATGGCAGCCGTGGCCATATCCTTGGTGGTCTCGTCGCTGTCGCAGAGAGCCGCCACCTCGGTCGCGCGAGCCTGCAACTCGTCGTAGAGCTCCTGAGCCTTCCTCGCGATCGAAGGGGGCACGTACGCGCCAGCAACAGCAGGCGCCGTCGCGACGGCAATGCTGCCACCGAGGGCCAGAACGGAGCCGTGGATGTCATCCCTCAAGCCCTCCATCTTCTTGCGCATGACTGCGGTGAGCAGCTTCTTCGGTCTCGGCGCCCCTGGTTGCTTCGGCTCCTTCGGAGCCGCCTTCCTCTTCAGCTTCTTCTCGCCGTGGACCCCGCGATCCTTGCACTCCTCCTCCTCCTCCTCATCGTCCTTCACGAACTCGTACTCGGGCACGTAGATCTCAATCAGGCCGCTGTACTTGCAGGTGTGGCGCGGCGCGGTCCCGAGCAACTGCTGGAGGGCCTCTGGGTTATTCTTGAACTTCGGCATCTCGGACACGTCCTCGAGGGGGTGGTACTTGCCGCACTCGCGAAACCTAGTGAGAGCCTTCCTCTTCTTGGTGACGTTGATCGTTTCCTTCGTCGCCTTGCACAGCGCGTCGCCGAAGAGGTCCGCCGAACTCTCGTAGAAGCGGGCCTTGGTCTCGGGGTCGACGTCCGACCAGCCCTCGAACTCATTAGGATCGCCTCTGCACTGGTGCTGAGCCCTGCGCTTGGTGCGGGCACACCAATCATGGCTCACGCGGTCCGTCTTGCGCTCGCCGCCAGCCTTGTTCTGGATGACCTGCTTCTGGCCCTCCTCCATCGGCTTCCTGCAGAAGCAGCACATGATG